GTCGATTCTTTATGTCAAACAGACGCCTGGTGGTCGTGTGGTGAGGGGGCGGTGCGCGTCATACGTATCAGTCGCTCCCCTGTCACCGTGGTGAACTGGTTCAGATGCCCGTTGATACGCTGTCGCAGTTCGGAACCCGGTCGGTAGGTGGCGCCCACAACTCGCTCGCAGCGTGCAGTGTTGGGTCGTCGACTAGGGTGTGCACGGAGCCTCGTCGCCAAACCGCGACCCTCACCACTCCGGCGGCAGCAGAGACCTCCGACTCGGCAGAGGTTGACCCACGCAGGCCGAGTTGAGCTGTCAAGCGGGTCTTGCCCGCCTGCAGAGGAGATGGGGAGCCGCTTGAGTCGAGCCCCGAGAGCCGGCTTTGGTAAGCCGATCGAACTCGGCTGAGTCCCAGACGAGCTGAAGATGAGTCGAGCCGACCCGCTGGTCGCAGCTCGCTCCTGAGCCGACCCTCCCGGTCGAGCTCGCTCCTGGGTCGACCCGCTGGTCGCCCTCGCTCCTGAGTCGACCCGCTGGTCGCACTCCTGAGTCGACCCACTGGTCGCACTCGCTCCTGAGTCGACCCGCTGGTCGCACTCGCTCCTGAGTCGACCCGCTGGTCGCACTCGCTCCTGGGTCGACCCGCTGGTCGCCCTCGCTCCTGAGTCGACCCGCTGGTCGCACTCTCCACGTGAGCCGACCCGCTGGTCGCACTAGTTTCCAATGCTCAGGATCCTTTCCTTTATGCTGAAAAATCCCCCTGGATCCCGCCCACAAGGCGGGGCTTCTTTCGATTTTTGCTGCGTCAGGATCTGTCCGTAGGCAGGTGTGTCCATGTGTGTGTCCGTACGGTATATTCCGTTGTCACACTCCCTCCATAAAACCCACGAGCAAACAATCAGATGTTACAAATTGCCTCGAAGTCGTCTCTCTGTCTAGGTGCAATATTATCTCTTGTCTGGCCTTCTTCATGAACCCAAAACACAGACGTTACAAATCGTCTCATAGGCGTCTTTGTTCGTGTTGCACAACCTGGAGGGAGGGGCAACACTCTCTCCGACCCGGCGCACAAAGAAATGGTTAAGAAGTTTTAAGTTAACATTTGTCCCTTACTATTTCACAGTTATGATTCTGTATGTAACCTAAGGTCTGTCGTTTCCCATCGTGGTGCTTGACTCAAGTGGAGGTGTTTCCCCGAGCGTATACACACTCCTATCCCGCGCTGCGGGGATACAAAGACGGCCGGGATCTCCCTTTCTCTCCGACCCTGGGTTTAACATCGTTTTTTTTTTATTATGTATTTATATTCGACCTGGTGGTGATTCATCCCGTTATCCTAGCTTTTCCATAAGTTTTACTTTTGTCTTTTCATGCATATGCTTATTATTATTAATTTATTTCCGATATCTTAGGTTAAGGGTAAGTTTCTTGATCCTAGGAATTCGTATTCCTTGGTGTCTGCATGGTTATATAAGCGGAATATAGTTTACGGTGAATAGCGTTAACATTGATGTTATGTACGATATTATGCATTGTGATGTCTTTAACTTAACTTGTTTGTCAGGGCTTTACTGACACGAAGTTGCATTCCATAGCCCCGCAGTCTTTGCCCCACCCTATCTCTGCTCGCCGTTGTTATTGCCGTCCAGCTGACGCCGTTAACTCAAGGCCTCATTAATTTCCGTCACTCCTTGTAGGTGAGGGCGGTTGAGCCTTGGAGTCAGTTCTGGTTTTTGTCTGCCTGCTTCTTCTTGTGTCCCCTGACCCCGGGAGTTATTATTTCTACTTTTATGGCCTGTCGAAGCCCGACTCGCTGTTGCTGGGCTGGTGTCGTTCCCGGCTTTTTGCTTACGTTTGCAGTTCGCCGTGCTCTTAATTTCCTTCCCTCTTCAACCTTATATCGACTATTCGCTCCTGTCTGGGTGCGATTCAATTTTGACTTAGGAAGGTTCTGATTGTCATATGCTTCGGGTCGAGTTGTATAGAAAGTATTAAAGTATGGAAATAACATTTCATATTGACTTAATGATGGTGATGGTTCAGTAGGCGTAACTTGTGGCCTGGTTTAATTGGAGTGGGTGTGAATATCAATAACTTTAGCCTACCCTGTTGTTAAATTCCGACTTTAACGTTACTTTAATAGCAATACAGAATAATTGAGCTTTTTGTCTTAACTAGGCGAACGCGAACTTCTGGTGACCCCCGCAGCCTTGTTGTTCAGCTGGGTCTGCCTCCTTGAGAGATATACACCACTCTTATTCTCGTCTCACTGTGGCCATCCAACCTTCTGCTCTGGGAGTGTTATTCTTAATTTCAGGTCAAAGGCCCCCTCACGTTCAGACGTGCAGGGTTGTTTAAATCAGCTCCCTCCCCTGTGCACGTGTTCCAACTAGCTCGGAATCCCTAAACACACAATCAGTGATGATTCCTGGCTTTCTGTGGTTGTGATTTAGACAAAGGCGCCTCTGCTTTCTTCCATTGCCTTTGAGTCGACACTGCCCTATTATTTGCCCATGTGCTGAGGTCATAGAATTCGTTTTGACTTCAGTAATATTAACATTCAGTATTGGATTAGCAAATGGGCAATGGTTCATTGATGTAGCTCGCAGCCTGGTCTCCAATTTGAGCGAGCGCGAGGATCGATACTTTAGCCTACTCTGTTGTTGAATTTCGAATTTTGACGTTACTTTAAAACCATGCAGGATGGTTGGGCTTTTTGCCTTAACTATGTCTGGCTGACACTCCCACTGTCTCTGCCGCCTGCACGGGTGACATGTGCCCGTTCATCAGGCCTTATCTTTCCTTGAAGCAAGGTTGCAAATTCTGCCATCCTAGCCCTCCTCCAGTTCATTACTTAACAACACCTGGTGTTTTGCAGTTTGCTGCGCTTTGGTGTGTTTCATTCATTAAAAAAGTAAAAAGATAATATATAAAAATATCATCAAATATTATTAATCTCAATTTTGGAAGAAGGGTTAGTATACAACAAGTGGGCCTTGACGACCAAATTGTTGAAGAGGAGATCTCACTTGAACCGTTTCTGGCTCCCCTTTTTATCCCCTTGATTAAAAAAAAAAACATCCGGGGTTACGTTATCCTGCGAAACCAATTGTGCGCCTACCTGTGATTTTCAAACGTTTTTCTGCCCTTACACGGAGCGTTACTCTACGTTATTTTTCGGCCCATAGTCTCTGCCCCGTACTCATTAATCCCTAACTCACCCTGTTTAATCTGGGAGGGCGTCCGGCTGGCGAATACACACCCGGCTAGTGTGTACTTGGTCGGTGGCGCTAGGATCCCCCCGCCCTCATCGTCTGCCCTGCTCGCTTAATATTTCACCCCAGCCCTCTCCCCAATGTCACGCGCGACTCATTGCGGCTGGCACCGGTGAACCTTTGTGCGCCCATACAATTTTAAGCCAATTTAGGGGCACTGCAATGATGTGATTTGTCCTGGGAGGGTCGGCCAATCTCCTGGCACCGGGAAACCGTGGGACTTCCCACCTAGGGGCCCTTTGGATGAAACCCCGTTGTGCTAGGCGATCCCCCGCCGAGACACTACGTGTGTGTGAGTGTTCAGGGGGGGGGGGGGAATCGCGGCGCTTGCGGTCGGGGCACCACAATATAACTGCTCAACCCGAGCTACCGATGCTCTGATACTTGTGTAATGCGAGCGTAAGTGAGGTTTCGCCGCTCAGCTCTGGGCCAATCAGACGGCCCGGAGTATTGGGGGCGGGGCCCAGTAATATGGGCGTATGGGAAGGTCCGCCGCCCACCTCCGGTCCAATCGGATGCCCGGAAGATCAGGGGCGGAGTCTAAGGGCGGAGCCGGAGGGGCGCGAAGCGAAGGGCGTAATCTGGAAGGTTCGGAAAGGGCATGGTGGACAGGATGACGTGTGAGGGGGATATAAGGGGGATCCGGAAGAGACTCGGGGTCAGTTGGCGTAGTCTCGGAGTGGGACTACGTTGGGTCGTGGGACACCTTCTGCGCCATCAGCCACGTGGCTAGAGACGACTCCAAGCACACCGTCAGCCAACGGTGTGCGGGAGCAGAGGGGAATGCGACTGACGGGAAGAGCGCGCGGGGCGCGCAAGCGGAACAGCCAGTCCACTGTCGGGATCGGCGGAGTGTGAGCGGCATAACAAGAATAAAGACAGAGACGGAGACCAAGCTGTGTGTCGTCAACATCCTTTATTACACTTGTGTAATATGAGGATGCACCCGGGGGGTAACTGGGCCATGGTGATGGGCTCTGCCGGCCTCAGCCCACAGTCAATGGGACGTCGAGCCAGGGCGTAGCCCTGTGGCTGCATAGCAACATCTGGAAGGTTCCAGGGGGTGAGGCTGATGATTGGCTGCGTGGTATCACGTGGGCCAGGTGTTATAAGGGGTGGAGAGAGATAGCTCGGGGTCAGTGTGGAGAGGGGCTGAAGAGGGACCACGTCTGTGCCACGGGCACGCCAGCGGCCACGTGGCAGGCCGGAGGCTGTCTCCCACACGCCGTCAACCAGCGGTGTGAGGGAGCGAGGCAGCGAGCGAACGCCACGCTCGGGGAACGAGAGTAACAGGGGGAAAAGGAACCCAGCATGTGAGGGAGCTGTGGAATGAAGAACGAATAAAGAAAAGACAAAAGACACGATATCGTCCGGAGCGGATTTATTACACTTGCATTGCCTTTTGTACTGTTCGTTTTTTGGCATTCTCTGGTCTAACACTGGTGAAATGAAACCATGAAAAAGGCTGTCTCTGGTGTAGGCCAATCAGTTTCAAACACAATGCGTATATTATCAGAGCATGTTTGATTGCATGTTTGGCCACATGCACGTGTGGTTAATGCAGACTTGGCGCCTTGCAAAAGGTCTGTAATTGGTGTTTGAACATGTTGACACCTTCTGTTTGATTGCCAGAAAGGGTGAAGCCTATTCTGATATGCGGCTTTAGCTTTGACCAGTCCCGTTGAGACACTCATTGAAGTCGTTTCCGTTTGTTACGTTTTCTGCACTCTGTCAACGCAGACCCTCAAGCTCCCACCAGGTCTGGGCTCAGGGAAGGTCTCATTGCTCTCACAGCGGTCGCCGCATGTCTCTTCCTGGCCTTCATCGTGGCAACGGTCTTCACGATGTCGAAACGGGCTGGAAAAAGGTAAAATTCTTTTTATGAAAACAGAAAAATATTGCTAATTCTCCACAATCGAGGTTTTTTTGGGTTAGATCGCGTAAATATAAATGTGTCGTTAAACCCGCCACCACCTGACACATACAATTAGAAAGGTTTGTTACGTAAATAAAACATGCCAATTCGTTACTAGTGTAGTATTCTTGAATGAGACAGAGACTTCGTAGAGGCCACACGCTTTTATTCCAATAACACGAGTTCTCCGGACTCACTTGGGGAACAGTCCAACCACACAACCTAGGGAGGTACAGCCTCCGGCTCTATTCTCATTACTCTCCTTCCCTAGCCTACAGCTACTCAGTTACTCTCTTCCCTAGCCTACAGCTACTCAGCCCACTCAGTCCCAGCGGGGTGGCATCCTCGAGGCTTGGGGGTCCAGGATCTCCGGCCGCACCTCCTTCAGCTTCTCGTGAGATCGACCCCTCCGCTCTCCGGGAGCCGTCTAATATCCCCTCTCTCTGAGGGGCGGGGGTGTCTCGGGGCCCTGGCTCTCGCCAGCCTCCTCCCCTCAGAGCGGTTCCAACCACCTCTCGTCCCTGCCGGTCCGGACCGGTCCAGACCGGTACGTACCTCTCCCCTAGCTTGTGTGACCTGTGTGACCTGTGTCAACCTTGGTGTCAACCTTGACCACCACATCACCCCCCCCTATACAGCACGCAGCCGTCCCGGCTGCATCACTATCCACATCCCAACCCTAACTCGCGAACCAGGAATTCTGAACACGACAAGAACAATGCGTGAGCCTCAACACAACAATAACAACAACAGAACAACAACAAACACAACTATCCCCGATAATTTACCCCAACCCCCCTGTACACAAGAACACCGCGGACACACCACACCAACGAACAAGGTGACTCGAACACCCAGGCCCCGCGAGGAGGCAGTGTATCTGCGACAGGTCTCAGGAGAACCTGAGACCCTTCGAACGAGTCCGTGTGGCGGGTCCATCGCCAGAAGCCAGCGTTCCTTGCGGAGGGTCAGGAGGGGCCAGATGACGGGCGTCCGGCACGTCCCGAGGCCCCGGGAACAAAGCCCGCGAGCCGTCTTCCTGCTGGACAGGCGGCCGGCTCGCTTCCCGCTCCTCTGGTGAGACCACCCTAGGTGGACTCACACCTGCAGCATCCGAAAGAGTGGCAGGGGGTTTTGGAACAACAAGGGGGTCACGAGGCCCCTCCCCCAACCTGCCGGACACGTCACGCGGCCGGCCCCTGCGAGATGAAGGTGTGTGAGTGCGTGGTGCGACATAGGGCTTCAGGCGCGAGGGGTGCACGTACCAAGAACGCCGTCCGCACGCGACCCTAACACACTGGTCTCGAACGACCCGAACAATGTCGACCGGCCCCCGCCAGGGCCGCAGCAATTTCGATGACGTTGACAGCGGCACCTGCGGGCAGTGCAGCCACGCCTTATCCCCTACCGCCCATTTATACACCGTAACCCGGCGATCATACAGGACGCTCATTGGCCCGTTGCCTTGTCCTGGAATTTTCCTGCGCGGCCACCCCACTTCTGACACCAGTTGTAGTATTCTTGAATGAGACAGAGACTTCGTAGAGGCCACACGCTTTTATTCCAATAACACTAGTCCTCCGGACTCACTGGGGGAACAGTCCAACCACACAACCTAGGGAGGTACAGCCTCCGGCTCTATTCTCATTACTCTCCTTCCCTAGCCTACAGCTACTCAGTTACTCTCTTCCCTAGCCTACAGCTACTCAGCCCACTCAGTCCCAGCGGGGCGGCATCCTCGAGGCTTGGGGGTCCAGGATCTCCTGCCGCACCTCCTTCAGCTTCTCGTGAGATCGACCCCTCCGCTCTCCGGGAGCCGTCTTATATCCCCTCTCTCTGAGGGGCGGGGGTGTCTCGGGGCCCTGGCTCTCGCCAGCCCCCTCCCCTCAGAGCGGTTCCAACCACCTCTCGTCCCTGCTGGTCCGGACCGGTCCAGACCGGTACGTACCTCTCCCCTAGCTTGTGTGACCTGTGTGACCTGTGTCAACCTTGGTGTCAACCTTGACCACCACACTAGTACAGCATACCAGTATGTTGGAGAGTAAACTCACAACATTTACAATTCGGACCCCTGATGATGCTAGCTGTAATCACTGGCTAGTTGTAATTACCGGCAAATTATCTGAATTGTAAATGTTATGAGTTTACTCTCCAACACACCGGTGTACTGAACTCGTAACTTGGCTCACAACGGCATCACATTTACCACCCCCCCCCCCTCTCTATTTAGGAACCGAAACAGGAGGATTTATCCATAATTCTTGAATGCCGCCTGATGAGGCTGGTTGTAATCACTGGTAAAAACGTCACAGTACTCGAATTTGTAAATGGTGTGGGTTTACTATCCGACACGAAAGGTGTGCCGAACTAGCAACTAATTGGCACGTTTTGGTCACGTGACAAACCTTACTAATCGGCCGTGTGGATTGGTGGTGGCGGATTTAATTACAGGTTTAACGACACGTATTTATGGAAAAAAAACCTCAATTAATTATGGATAATATTGATCGCGAAAGCCCCCTACGCGTTGAACTTGCTTGTACTCGTTTTCCACCCCGACAAATTCTGGAGCTCCATTCTCCCAGATTATTGTTCACACATACCCGCATCTTGAATGGGTTCTGCGGCTGGTGTCACCTCGGCAAGATATTTCTCGTGAAATCCAGAACTGTCATCGCCACGTAAATGTTCTTGTCCCTTGCAACGTGAGAGATGACTGCAGAATTTGGGAGGCCTTCATCCGGCAGTGGATTGACCATGGCCAATGACGACGATGATCACGATGAACTTTGGTTGCAAATGTTGCTCTTTAAATATGTTAAATGTGGAGCAAACAGTGGAAACAATATCTATTGATCATCGATTAGCACGATTGGGTATAAAGAAGTTCAACATGTAACATACATCTCCAGCCGTGATCCATCCACTGCTGGATGAAGCCCTCCCCAATCTGTTGCCATCTCTCAACTCTGCGATGCAATGAAATGTGCATTTGTCCTATTACTGTAATAACATAACATTTGCTCTATGCCCTCTCTTGGCAGGAGTAAAAACAACACAACCAAGACGGTACATGAGGTGTCACTCTAGGAGGATGTCATTCCCCCGAACCTCCGATTAGCACGGTCGGCAACGTATGGTGCGAAAGAAGTTCAACATGCACACTAACATGACGAAATGTTTTCGTTTGGAACGATTGCCAGTGATTTTTTTGTTTCTTTTAGGATCTACTCTCAACAGTTAAACTATTCGAAAATATATATTTACATGATGTCCCCGATGATTTAGGAAATTACCCATTAAGGATAATTCTATACCAAGCTTGATGCTTTATGCTCCGCACGCCCGCTTACATGAAATGCTTGGAAGACGTCAGCAGAGGCCACGATTGCCACCACAACTCGCCATCACTTCCTTGCTTCTGCCCTGATGTGAACGACCAATGTTCTTTAAGCTCACGCCTTTCAAATAAAAGAGTAATATGCTAACGGGAAAAAAAAATAAACGTGCACGTTGTGAGATTCGACGATTCGGATTCAACGCTAATATTTGTGTTACAGTTTGTTAAAAATGTATGAATACATCTGTAAGCAGTTTACTATCTGCACAAAAGTACAAATATGCAGCATTTGCATTTTTTTTCGTTCTGCAAATAAAATTTACTTCCTGCGGAGCGCATAATAAAAACAGACGTGCCATGATTTTGCTTGTGCAGCAGCAACGACCTGATGTATAGTTTTAATACCACTGGTCATCTGTGAAAAAGAGCTTCACAGCTCGTCAGATTTCTCCAGGATGAATAAAGACTTCTGATTATGAATACGTTTGTATGTCGGTACGTTCGTGCGCATGTATGCATGCTGGACTTCTTTCGCGCCGTACGTAGCCAACGTCGCTCATCGGCGGTATGCGCCTGAGAATAAACTACGAAATCTCCCCCGCGAATGTAGCCACGAATGAGCACCCGTGGTTGCCCAGACTCCTCGATTTGTTCGCTGCGAGGGAGGGCGCGCGGCCGCGTAGGGGGATCCACGTGTTTCACACACACGTGTTCCACACACGCGTGTTCCACACACACGTGTTCCACACACACGCGTGTTCCACACACACGTGTTCCACACACACGCGTGTTCCACACACACACGTGTTCCACATACGTGTTCCACACACGTGTTCCACACACACGTGTTCCACACACACGTGTTCCACACACGTGTTCCACACACACGCGTTGCACACACACGTGTTCCACCCGCGGCGAGACGGGGGCTGATTTGCATGCAGAAAGAAGCACGGCTTTGGGTGGGGGGGGGCCCTGAGCAGTGGTTCGCTGATGGCATCAGGGGGGCTCCATATCAACACGAACGACTCCTATTTCCCAGTGTTTGCTGGCAATAAAGCCAGATGTATTGCGCCGAGTCATCGGGCTGCATCTCCCAGGCCCGCTCGCTGTCTAACACCGCTTCCCTTTGGAGAACGACTCAAAGCAGTTTTGTTTTTACGACAATCGACTCATTGGCCGGCTGCGTGGACCGTGGAGGGTGCACGCGGCGTTTGAAGGGATATCTGGGGAGTATGCAGCTCGACTCAAAGCTTCCTTTGTTCGTCAAGACGTCGTCGTAACAATGGGTCATTTTGGACTCTGGCAATGCCATTTGCGGGTCGGTCTTCCTCACTCAGGCCGGCATGCATTTGCGGGTGGGGTTCGAGTAGCAGTCCCTCGGCCAATCTGCCGAGTAAAGGAAATACGAAGCCTTCGCTCGTGTTATCAGACACAGAATGTTCATTTATAACTGCAGGAATCCGATGAGCTATGAAGCATCTTTCATAGACGTTCAGTAGGGGCGGGTCAGAGCGTTATAAGAACAAACAATACATAACACGATAATTGGTTTTTTACCCTTCTATCTGGCAACAAAACTGACACCTTTTTACAAGGAGTCATGTTTGCATAGACCGCAATACCTGCAGTCATAATACAAACAAAAGAACATAACTCTGATAATGTGCACTGTCCTTGAAGTTGATTGGTCCACACCCGAGACAGCTTTCCTTCGAGCCTAGTCTCACATGGGTTGGACCAGATGACGCCAAAAGGCGCCTTTTGGCGTCATCTGGTCCAACCCATGTGAGACTAGGCTCGAAGGAAAGCTGTCTCGGGTGTGGACCAATCAACTTCAAGGACAGTGCACATTATCAGAGGTATGTTCTTTTGTTTGTATTATGACTGCAGGTATTGCGGTCTATGCAAACATGACTCCTTGTAAAAAGGTGTCAGTTTTGTTGCCAGATAGAAGGGTAAAAAAACCAATTATCATATTTTTACTGGCAAATGAGGTTCCCATAGAATACATAACACGATAGGAGTGCAAAGTATAGGAAGGTTAGGCAAATCACTCAAAGAATCTGCAAATCAAAATAAACTCTTTTATTTTAGCAGGTAAAGCCCACTGAGCTATTAGCGTCTTTTTCAGATGCGACCTGGTCACAAATGATAGCTCAACGAAGTGGCTTATCATGTGGACATTTATAGCAGCCAAATAATCGAAATAATCTAAACGCGTGTTTCTAAATGGTGTAGCACATATCGGGAGACTTCCAGCGAAAGAACGCTATCCATTTCAAAACCTTGACACTGATTTCTATTTAAAGCTTTCGTGACTGCAGGGATTCATCTTCTTGGTTCTACACCGTACTATATACTGCCATAGACAAACCCAACATTAAATTATATACTATATTGCTATAAACCACCTTATACATTGTAATATTACACTATGTAGGGTGGGTAGAATAATACATAGTGTAATACAGTACATAATTTAATGTTGGGTTTGTCTATGGCAGTATATAGTACGGTGTAGACTCGTGTGATGTAAGAGAATAAAGTTTAGATGGAAGCATATTATATTTTTACGACGTAGAATTGTAATGTTACTTACTGTTAGTAACTCAGCTTATTGTACAGTATATTTAGTATACTGATGATACTATGTAGTTTATACTTTAGTTGTTTACGTGGTGGTTTTATTTACTGCAGCTACATACTACCCCTATGCCCTCCCTTTGATGCTGCTAATCCTGCATAATGCACGGGCATAAGTAGTACTAATCACATACCTGCATTTCCCATATCCCCTCCCTTTGATGCTGCTAATTCTGCATAATGCACAGGCATAAGTAGTACTAATCACATACCCGCATTTCCCATAAATATTCTAAATTCCTCTTGATATGCAAATTCTTTTGTCAAGGCGCCCTTTCCCCCCTCCCTCCAACCCAGCTTAAATATATGCTCCAAGCATGGTGCTGTTTCATTCAGACGCTGTCGCCTCGACAGACCTGGTTTTTCACCTGAGGACGGCTACTTGCGTTGTGGCCGAAACATCGTGAGAATTATTTTAGTATGTTTTATTTTTATTATTGTATTACTTCCCTTCTACGTGACTTTACCGAAAGAACCAAGAAGACTTGAGACTGATGTTTAAGACGATGAACTTGCACCTCGCTTGTCTCATGGAGCTCATTATCCCATACAGGTCATCACCGACACGACGATCCGCAGACTGCAACCTCCTGGTGGTCCCGCCAAGCTGTCTGGCTGGAGTCCCGGAGAGAGATTGTATCAAATGAGCTCTGACATCGTGCAACCAACTCCCGCTACAAACTTTGGTGATTTCATTCTCTGGGTTGAGAGGCCTCAAAAACATGACTCTTTTAAAGCGAGGGAAGGCGGATTAACTCAGAATTTGTGATAGGCAGTCTCATGCTCCACATGTGATATTTGAGTATGGCACGATGATGTATGACGGAGATTATTTTTTTGTAAGGCTTATGAGAAGGGGACACGCGATAAATGGTCGAATGCACCTTGAATCATATTTCGAAGTGCGGTATGATGAATGATTCATAGGCTTATTCTAAGACACCTTGGGTAGAGTGGTTCTTCCACAAATGTTAAATACAAATGAGATTCATGATATAACAATTACTTTACGAGATATCACGTCGTTGCCAGAGGATGTTTGAAACTACGCGCGAGTTAAAGAATGCCACGTTGAGCCAATGGCTCATGCACCTCCTCCCAAAGCCATTCGCCGGTCACTGTAACTACGTGGAACGCTTCATCATCGGGGCCGTGCGGTAATCGGTGAGGCCAACTGCATTCGTGTCCCTCCTGACAAAATGAAAACCAAAGTCGCTTGGCAGTGGCATTGGCATGATTGACATTAGCCATGGACATCTGTGAAAAATAGCTTCGTAGCTCATCAGATTCTTCCAGTCTAAGATAAATATTCTAATAAAGATTTTGAAATGGGGGCCACCCGTAAAATTCTCCACGCCCCCCCCCATACCCCAACCCTTCGTATCTTGGGGCCCCTCATTGAAGGCTTTGCAGTGGCGAGATGTTAACTACCTCGCCTGGTATACAGGAGGTCGTGGGTTCGATCCCGACCACGACGACTGCAGTATATTTGAAGTTTGCGTGGATTTTACTCCGGGTCCTTCGGGTTTTCCCGCCACATTTACAATCAACATCACGACGTTTAGAGTATTTGGCTGCTGTAAATTTGCACGTGATGAGAAGCAACTTCGTTGACCTATCATTTGTGGCCATGTAGCTTCTGCAAAATAGGTAGTGGGCCTTACCTGGTAAAGTAAAAAAATACTTTAAAGTTTAGTTGAACTGCCTTCCTCACTCAACGGCGACATCACCGCCTCTTATTCTTGACAAACTCAACTTCCTTTAGCTCCCTTGATGTCCGCGCTCATCATTCCACTCTCACTTTTCTCTCACGTTCTTTCGCCGTAACATCGACTGCGTCAAAGTTGTCACGCGATGTCTGACAGGAGGCAATGTAAGCCAAAAAGTGAGGTGTTATGTGGTGTCCCAAGGGTCAATACCCTTTGAATAGCCGTTAACTCAACGTCTAAACAAGCTCCGTTATTGTTTTCGCAAAGTCTGGTGATATCAGATCGGAGATAAAACGTACACGAACGCATGCACGAGACTTTGTACATCGGCATCACAAATACAGCGATTGGAAATCTGGAACGACCTCCTGTGCAATCCAAGTATAATCTCAAGGCCAATTCCAGCGATAGTGAAATTCTATGCAAATATCTTATCTCCAACACTACTTTGGACCTAACCTTGCCAACTGACGATTACAATTTCCCCCTTTCACCAAAAAATGATATTCCATGCCGTTCCCGCAAAAACACCTAAAACGTTTCTTGGGAAAAGTGAGGGCAGATTTCCTCCCATGCAGTGCTAGGTAGAAGTTGTTGGGTATAGGAGGGCGATGCTGGCGCTGGGAGCAGAGCGGGGATCGGGGCGCTGGCTCCTGGCGCTCGCGCTCTGCGTCGCGTGCGCGGGATGGAGCGTGCTGCCGTCGCACAGAGGGCAGTGGCAGAAGCTGCTGCTCGTCTCGTTCGACGGATTCCGCTGGGACTACGACACGGACGTGGACACCCCAAACCTGGACCACCTGCGCACCATCGGGGTCGCGGCGCGATGGAGACGTCACTTTTGTCGATAACACTGCCCTGAGCGAGGCAACATTACGAGCTGGCTTTTTTTTTAGCCAACGGCTCTTCACCATCATCATCACCATCAAACTCCGTGGGCAGAAATCCCGTAGGTGTCCACCGCAACGTGTGTCAGTTGTTTCCACTTCCCCTTTATCCCGTGCCAACATGCTGAGGCTATGCCGCATCTCTCTGGCACCAATCTCTTACGCCATCCAGCCATTCGCTCCAGGCTCTTCCTCCTCTTCTTCAAGTTCC